AGGGAAGGGAGGGCAATGGCAAGAAAAGCCAAGGGGGATGGCAAAGGCTAAAAGAAGTCAAGGGAGTACAAGGCCAAGACCAAGGGAAATCAGAGCCAAGGGCAGGAACATCAAGGGCAAAACTAAGGCAAAGCAGGGGCAAGGCAAGGACAGGGAAATCAAAGGAAGCCAAGGTCAAGTGAAGTCAAAGGAAGCAAGGAAGGTGAGGGAGGGGGCGATGAAATTAGAAGAAGGGGCAAAGCCAAAAGCAAGGCCGGGTAAAGTTGAAGGAGGGCAAGGGAAGGAAAGCCATGGCCAAGACAAGGGAAGTCAGGCTAAAGGCAGGGAAGTCAAAGGCTAACATGGCCAGGAGAAATCAAGAGCAAGGTTGGGAGGCAAGGCCCAAGGCCAGAGAAGCCAAGAGCATGAAAGATAAGGGACGTCAAGAACAAGGACAATAAAGGCAAGGGACAACAAGGTTATGGCCAAGACCAAGGTCATGGCCAAGAAAGGGAAGACAAGAGACTTCAAAGATTAAGGCCATGGTCAAAAGTAGGAAAGGTAGGAAACTTCAAGGCCATTGTCAAAGTCAAGGTCAAGGGAAGGCAAGAGACTTCAAGATCATGGTCAGGATCAAAGCCAAGGTCAGACAAAGTCATGTTCAAGATCAAGTTCAAAGTCAAATTCAAGATCAAGTGCAGGGACCAGCAATTAGCGTAACAGCTATGTTGCTGGACTCCCATGTAGTCAACCGCGGTTCGCATCCCAGACCCGGTAGCTTAAAACTCATGTCGGGCGTGTGTGTTGCATGTCCAAAATCCCAAGAAGAGAATAGAGGAGAAGGGATTGCGGTGAGGCTATCCCCCTGGGGGGTGATTTCTCGCTGTCTTTCTATGTCTGTCTGGCGAGCGCACGCGCCCTAAAACCTCTCAAAAAAAAAAAAAAAAAAAAAAAAAAAAGATCCAGTGCAAGGAAGGTAGGAAACTTCAAGGTGATTGTCAAGGTTAAAGCCAAGGTCAAGTTCAAAGTCAAGGTCAAGGACCAGCGAGAGACTTCAAGGTCAAGATCAAAGTCATGGTCACACTCAAGGCCATGGACAAGGTCAAGTTCAAATCCAAGGTTAAGAGTAGGGCATTCTACTCAGTTTCAAGCCTAAAGTCAGACATGTATTCACAGATATGTATGTATCAGCTGAACTTGCTACTGAAATTAGTTATATTTAAGAAATTGTGTGAATCAATAAAATGTGGGAAATAATTGTAGATACCTGAGACAGTGTAGGAGGAGGGTGGGAAATGGCAGAGGGTGAGAAATAGGGGTAAAATATTTATGTATGAAATGTGTGTGTGTGTGTGTGTGTGTATACACACACATACATGTGTGATTATGGCACTATGCAGTATATTCTGGATGGGAAATCACATTTTGTATGCTGTGACGATGCTCAGGGAATGAATGTAAATTAATTAATTAAAAAAATTTTTCAGAAGAAAATTACAGTGAGGTTGTAACTAGATTCCAGCTTTGTCTATAAGGTATTTTGTGAATCAATAAAATGTGGAAAAAAAGTTTAGTATGGAAGGGAGAGAGGGGAAAGGGGAAGGAAAAAACAAGTAAAAGTATGTTTAATTGACAAAAAAAATGAAAGGCTATTTGCTGATAAGTTATAAAGTAATCTCTTTGGCTTGACTGACATGCATAGTATTTGTGCTAGAAGAAGAAATGTACACTGTAAAGATGTGATTAAATGTACATAAATTAATTGGAAAAAAGAAATTACAAAATAAAACAATAGGTACAGAAAAAACATTTGACAGAATTCAATATCCTTTCATGATTTAAAAAAAAACAACCTCTCAAAATATTAGGTATAGAAGAAACGTACCTCAACACAACAAAAACCATATACGAAAACCCAGGGCTAGCATCATGGTTAATGATAAAAAGTTGAAAATTTTTACTCCAAGATCAGGAACAAGAAAAGGATGCCCATTCTTACTACTTCTATTCAATACAGTACTGGAAGTCCTAGCTAGAGCAATTAGGAAGAGAAACAAATAAAGAAATGAAAGAAGTCCTAAGGAAAAGAAAGAAGTAAAATTGTTTGTTTTCTGAAGACATACTCTTATATTAAAAATGTTAAAGATTCTACCAAAAAACTGTTAAAACTTATAAACAATTCAGTAAGGTCACAGGATACAAAATGATCAGGAGCAATTCTATATACTTATAAGAAACTAGGTAAAAAAGAAATTAAGAAAATGATCTTTTTTACAATAAAAAAAAAGACAAATTAGGAGTAAATTTAATCAAGGAGATAAAACATCTATATACTAAACAGTATCACCCATTAATAAAATAGGGACCAGCAGTTGGCATAATGGCTGTGTCGCTGGACTCCCATGTAGTCAACTGCGGTTTGAGTCCTGGACCCAATGGCTTAAACTCATACCGGGCGAATGTGTGTGCATGGCAAAGATCCCAAGAGAAGAATGGAGAAGAGATTGCAGCATGGCCATCCCCACGCAGGGGTGATTTCTCACTTTTTGTCCCTCTGTCTCTGTGGTGAGCACAAACAACTTATAGCAAAAACCTCTCAAAAATTAGTAAAATAAAGAAATGGATAGATATCTGTGGCAAAACTGAAGTGAGACCATCTTGAAGCGAATCCAGCATTTGAACAACCTGATCTCTGTGTGTCCCCAAAGTCCTTGGCTACCTTCACAAAGCTACAATGTAGCCAAAGCTTGTCTAATAATCAGGCCTATCATCCTTATCCAGGGGCTGGTAGGTCTCTAATCATACTTAAGATACAGTATTGCTACACCAAAACCTCCAATATCTCCTATATATGTCCTCCATTACAAGGCCATCCTGTACAAACTATACAAACATATGATTTGGAGGTGTGAAGATTTACTTTACAGTCACCTATAATCTCATTTATGTCAGTAAATTCCTTTATTATACTCGTAATCAATAAACTGAATTTGTCTGGCTCATTCTTTAATCTCTGGCTCCTTCAAGACTCAGAAATTGTTTTGTTTACACGGCTTCACTTTTTGAAACAATATCCTATGTTCATGGATTAGAGAAATTAATATTGTTAAAATGGCCATACCACACAAAACAATCTACAGATTCAACACAATCCTTATTAAAATTACAATGTCATTTTTCACAGTTAAACAATCTTAAACAGTGCCATGTAATGGTGCAATGGTAAAACACAAAACTATGCAAGGCACCTCTACATTGGAAGGTGCTAGGTTCAAATCTAGAAACGTCCCTAAGCATACTGAACACAAGCATGCCCATGATCTGGGGCTCGGTGAAGGCTGGGGATGAGTCATGGTATGAAGATCTTGTTAGGGTGCTATCTCTCTTTCTGAAGAAATAATAATAAAAGTTTTTTCAAAAAGTAACTATCTAGGGAACCAGCAGTTAGCGTAATGGCTATGTCGCTGGACTCCCACGTAGTCGACCGCGGTTCATGTCCCGGACCCGGTGGCTTAAAACTCACGCCGGGCGCGTGTGCGTGCGTGCCCAAGATCCCGAGAGGAGAATGGAGGAGAAGGGATTGCGGCGTGACCATCCCCCCTGGGGGGTGATTTCTCGCTTTCTGTCTCTATGTCTCTCTCTGTCTGTCTGGCGAGCGCACGCGCCCTTGAATAATAATAAAAGTTTTTTCAAAAAGTAAACTATCTTGGGATTAGTAGTTGGTGTAATGGCTATGTCGCTGGACTCCCATGTAGTTGACCATGGTTCGATTCCTAGACCTGGCAGTTTAAACTGACACCAGGCCCATGTGCATGCGTGCCCAAGATCCCAAGAAGAGAATGGAGGAGAAGGAATTGTGGTGTGGCCATCCCCCCTAAGAAGTGATTTCTAGCTTTCTGTCTCTTTGTCTCTCTCTGTCTTTCTGGCAAGTGCATACCCTCTATAGCAAAACCCTCTCCAAAAAAAAAAATGTATCCTACAATTTGTATATACCATAAAACATAGCAGATAATCAAGGTAATCTTGAGCAAAAAGGATAAAGCTGGAGTATCATACAATTGACTTCAAAGTATACTATACACCTGCAAAAGTCAAATGGCATAATACTACTAGGTTATCAGGAAAATCATGAGGGTTTGTTTTTTTTATGTTTTTCTATGCAAAAATGCCTCATGACTTTCCCAACAATCCAACAGAATAGAAACAGACATATCAACCAATGGAACAAGATAGAGTGTCTAAAAATAGGTTTATCCATTTACAGACAATTTTTGATAAAGGTACCAAGAATACAAAATGGGGATAGTACAGTTTTTCTAATAAATAATCAGGGGCCAGCCACTGTGGCACACCAGTGACATGAATCTCTATGATACTGAAGTCATATGGGAAGGTCCCAGGTTCATGTACTAAAGTATCCCCGTACACACCAAGCATGTGCACGTGTCCCCATAATCTTGGTTGGCTAAGGCTGGATCATATCATGTAGAACCTGTTGGATATCTGTGGCTCTTTCTGTATCTCTCTTTTTCTCCCTCTCTCTCCCCCATGGAAAAATGGGTGGAAGGATATTAAAAACTAGTGATAAAACTTAGTAAACAAATGGTGCTGGTCAAACCAGATATTCACATGCAGGGAAAACTGGATATTAGAACACAGAAGAGTCAAATTAGAACCTTATATACCATATATAAAAATAAACTTGGTCAGCTAGTGGTGTGGTGGTTAGTGTGGCTGGATCACACATGGCTGACTATGTGGTCCAAGTCCTGCGCCGACCAGCTTGAAAAACGTACTGGGGGTATGTGTGTGCATGCCCCAAATCTCGGGAGAATAGAAAAGAGTAACTGTCAAATGTCTCATCACAAAAAATACTGAGGTGATGAATATGTTAATTAGCTTTTAAATCATTTCATATAGTGTATACTTATGTGTGTGTATCAAAATATTACACAGTATCCCATAAATATAATTATGATTTTTAAACTAAAAATAATAAATAAATGCAAAATTTTACTCACCTTTTGTGTCCTCAACCATATCAAGTTTAAGTGCCTTTGTTCCGTCAAAACAAAACGCCCTGATGGAATGCAGCTTTAACAATGAAGCATTCTTCTTTATTTTTTCTACTTTGTTGGGTATTTTATCCAATGCTATTACTTCTCCCTAACAAATAAACAAAAATAAAGCATCAATCCAAAGCAGTCATGAAAATTAACTATGAGAAAAAATGGAGTCCAGAATATGGTATAGAAAGTTAAGGCAGCTGGATCCCACATGGCCAACTGCACGGTTCAAGTCCTAGATATTTGACAAACATGCCAAAAATGTGTGTGAGCATGCCAAAAATCCTAAGAGAAAAACAGAGAAGTGACTATGGCCTGGCCATCCATCTGGGAGGTGCTTTCACACTTTCTCTCTCTCTTCTCTTCTCTTCCTCAGTCTCCAGAGTGTACACATCGTATGACAAAATGCTTTAAAAGTTTTGAGAAGATCTGGTGAAAAATTATGATCTTCCCCACTTTACACTCATCCTACTATTTCTTCCCAAACAGTATTTTTTAAAAAATAATTATTTAGCTTTATTGATTATTATTATTTTTAAGTTTGCCATAGAGCACTTGCACTCACCAAAGAGAGATGTGGGGAAAGGAGAAGGACAAGTGAGAATGCAAGTTGCCACATCCAGGACTCAAACCATGGTTGGTCCATATGGGAATCCAGTGCCTTAATCATCACGTGCCTGGTGGCTTCACCTCCCATCCCACTTTAAAAGCTCGATCTGTTTACCAAATGTACATAAAATTCACATTAAATACTTAATTATTTTTTAAAATATCTTTTTTGGAATATTAATCTTCTTATAATGGCTAGCTTCTTTTAGTCAACAAAACTCAAAATTAATAATTGTGCCTGCAATCTTCTGAAGAAACAAAAATTCACTGCTGATAAACATTAACAATCACCTATTTAATGTATCTTGCTCATCTATCTCCAAATGAGAGTGAACCAGTGCTATGAGACATATACCATCTGCTGGCTCTAACTTCTGTATATTTTATAGCAAAATGTTCAAGAAAGGCATTAAAAAAGAGTTCGGAAGTAATTTTATATTAACACTTCAGTTAAGTTAAAGTCAACAACAAGAAGTGGCCACAATTTTAAGAATGCATTGTGACATTCATGATACTTTAAAACATATAATCCCCTACCTTATCTGTGGTTTTACTTTCCAATTTCGCTTTCTGTGATTTCAGTGACCTGCCAACAGCCATCATCCAGAAAACTGTCATGGCTTGATGATTCTGATCATCCAAAATAAATTATCTTCATTCTCATGTATCACAGTGCATACCCAATTCACCCACTTCATATAATATAAGCATTTCATCATCTTAATATCACACAAACACAATATATGTAGATATTTGGGGAGACAGAGACCACAGTCACAACATTTATCACAGTATATTGCTATGTTTTCATCATTTTGTTAGTAGTATTTTCTTCATCTCTTGCTATGTGTAATTTATAGACTAAATTTTATCATAGGCATGTATTGGGTCATCAGAAAAGTCAGGATGCATTTTTGCATAGAAAAACACATCATTGGTCCTAGTGACAATGGGGCAGATTGTAGGGTGAGTGTCAGGAAGACAGAGACTGTAAAGAGACCATGGATCACCTCTTCCCACACACCTCTGAACTCTCAGGTGTGTCAACTGGGCATCTAGAGGGTCTCACTCTTCCCTGCCCCCTGCCCCATAGGAATATCTAGTTTGTGCAATGATGGATGGGGTAGTTTGCAAGGTGAGTGTCAGGGAGACAGAGCTGCAGAAATTAACATCTACCCCCAACAGTTACTCTTGGAATATCTGGTGTCCTTTGAGACTTCATATTTTACTGAATTGTATCTTTTCCTTTAACTTCATCCTCCAGCTTTGACACAGGTATAACTGGTTCTGAGACTCTGGGAGAAACCTAGAATCTCATACACCATTTGCTGATCAAAACACAAGGCCCTCTTTGAAGAACACAGCAGAGAAGCAGAGCACATCTTTCCCCCAACATTACAGAATTAACTCTAAGAAATTAGAAAGAAACATGTAATCTATCAGATGACTACAAATCAGCCCAGAGGCACAAGGACTGTAAGAAACAAACAAACAAACAAAAATCTCTCTCCCTCAAGGCAAAAGAACAACTCCTCATCATCCACAGAAAGTACAACAGAACTTTTGGAAATATCAGATAAACAATTCAGAATATTCATAGTAACAAAACTAAATATGATGCAAGAGAAAAGAAAAAATGGACTCCAGGAGATGAGGAAGTCCTTCCATGATTTGAAAGAAGAAACAGACACCATAAAAAAGAATCAAATGGAACTGTTAGAGATTAAGGCTGTAAAACAGGAAATCAGAACCTCCCTCGAAAGCATTCAAAGAAGATTAGATCATGCAGAAGATCAAATCTTGGAATTAAAAGACAAAATCTCAGACCTAGAAAAAAATTACCAAAGAGGATGAAAAATTCAACAATAACAAAAAAATAATAAGGATAATATACGGGAAATACTAGATACCATTAAACACCCAAACATTCGGATAATTAGTATTCCTGAAAGTTAAGAATCTAATGAGGGCATTGATAATTTATCCCATGAAATCCTGGAAAAAAACTTTCTAAACTTAGAGAAGTATTCAAATATTCAGACCCAAGAAATACAAAGGATCCCAAATAGAATCAACCCAAGAAGATCCTCTCTATGACACTTCATATCTAGATTGGCCAAAATCACAGATAAAGACAAGACTCTGAAAATGGCAAGAGAGAAATGTCAAGTTACTTACAAAGGTTACCCATCAGACTAACATTGGACCTCTAAGCGGAAACAGTGCAAGCAAGGATAGAATGAGAAGGTATATTCAAAGTGTTAAAAGGAAAATAATTTCAACCAAGATTACTATATCCAGCAAGGTTATTCTTTTTTTTTTAGAGAGCTTTTCGCTATAGGGCGCGTACGCTCGCCAGCCAGACAGAGAGAGACATAGAGACAGAAAGCGAGAAATCACCCCCCAGGGGGGATGGTCATGCCGCAATCCCTTCTCCTCCATTCTCCTCTCAGGATCTTGGGCACGCATGCACACGTGCCCGGCGTGAGTTTTAAGCCACCGGGTCCAGGACGCGAACCGTGGTCGACTACGTGGGAGTCCAGCGACATAGCCATTACGCTAACTGCTGGTTCCCCAGCAAGATTATTCTTCAAATGGGAAGAAAAGATATACACATTCTCAGAAAAACAAAACCTGAAAGAATTTACCAACATCAGACCACCTTTCCAAGACGTACTGAAGGGAATACTATACCAGGAAAACTAAGAGAGACAGAAATAAGAGAACCAAAAACAACCAAGAAAATGGCTAACGTAATGGTAGGAACAAATCTGGAAATATCGACAATAACATTGAAGGTTAATGGATTAATTTTCCAATCAAGGGATACAGACTGGCTAAAAGAATTTAAAGGAAAAAAGAAAGAAACAAGCAAACAATAAAAAACAGAAACCCTCTATCTGTTGCCTACAAGAAATGCACCTCATGGATAAAGACATACATAGACTAAAAGTGAAGGGCTGGAAAAAGGTGTTCCAAGCAAATAGAAACCAAAAAAGGGCTGTAGTCACGATACTGATTTCAGACAAAATAAGCCTTAAGACAAAAACTGTAAAAAGATAAAAAGAAGATCATTATATTGTAGTAAAAGGGCTAATTCATCAAGAAGATATAACGTTTATAAATACCTATGTATCCAACTCAGGAGTACCCAAATATGTAAAGGCTGCTAGATCTAAAAGGAGAAGCGAACTGCAACACACAAATTGTTGAGGATCTCAACATCCCACTATCTCCTTTGGAGAGATCATCTATATAAAAATAAGCAAAGAGATACAGGATCTAAATGAAATCATAAATCAAGTGGATTTGACAGAATCCACTATAGAATCTTCCACCCCCAAACCACAGAACATACATTTTTCTCACCCCCATGTGGAACATTTCGAAGACTGACCATATGCGAGGGTGCAAAACAAGACTTTACAAATTCAAAGGCATAGAAACTATATCCAGCACCTTCTCCGACTATGATGGAATTAAACTTGATATTAATTTGAGAAAACCCTCAAAAATACACAAACATATGGAAACTAAACAGTCTACTTCTGAGTGACTTTACAATTTCTGAAGAAATTAAGACTGAAATCAAAAGATTCACTGAAATCAAAGATAATGAGTACACAAGTTTCTAAAACCTATGGGACACAATAAACACAAGCATAAGTGGGAAGCTCATAGCAATTAGTGCACATAAGAAAAAAATGGGGACCAGCAGTTAGCATAATGGCTGTGTCTCTGGACTCCCATGTTGTCAACCGCAGTTCAAGTTCCGGACCCGGTGGCTTAAACTCACGCTTGGCATGTGTGTGTGCATGCCCGCCCAAGATCCCAAGAGGAGAATGGAGGAGAAGGGACTGCAGGATGGCCATCCACCCCAGGGAGTGATTTCTCTCTTTCTGTCTGCCTCTCTCTGTCTTTCTGGCAAGTGCACGTGCCCCATAGAAAAAAACCTCTCCAAAAAAAGAAAGAAAAAGAAAAGAAAGAAAGAAAAACATGGATAAGTGGCAAATAGACAACCTAATCTAACATCATGCCTCAGGGAATTGGAAAAACTACAAAATAATCCAAGAAAAAAAAAAATCCAGGAGAAAATAATAAAGATTTGAGCAGAAATTAATGAAATAGAAAATAAATAAACTGGGACCAGCAGCTGCTGTAATAGCTATGTCACTAGACTCCCACATGGTCGATTGCGGTTCGAGTCCCAGACCCAGTGGCTTAAACTCATGCCGGGTGCGTGTGCATTCATGCCCAAGATCCCAAGAGGAGAAGGAAGGAGAAGGGATTGCAGCATGACCATCCCCCCTGGGGGGTGAGTTTTCACTTTCTGTCTCTCTGTCTTTCTGGCAAATGCACTTGCCCTACAGCAAAAAAAAAAAAAAACAAACCAAACCAAACCAAACCAAAACAAAACAAAAAACTCTCACAAAAAAAGAAAGAAATGAACTATATAGAAAATAAATAAAAGCAAAAGCTGTTTTTTTTCAA